ATATAAATTATATCACGTACAAAAAAGATTCATCACGATTGTTTAAAACTAATCAAAATGTTAAGCAGTATTTTCATTCGGTTATAAACATCTCAAGAAGAAATTGATTTCGTTAGACGCATGTGTTTTAATAATAACAATATAATAATAATAATAATAAATATCCTTGGACATTTTACACTGCGCTTCTAGTCCCAAACTAAGCAAAGCTTGTACTATGGGTACTAGAGAACGGATATAAACATACTTAAATACTTTTTTTTTTTCTGTAAATACATACTTATTATTCATAGAAAACACCCAGTCCAATACAAACAAATATGTTCATGCACACAAATGTTTGTACTGTGCGGGAATCGAACCCGCAACCTCCGGAATAGTAGTCCGTTTCGAACCACTACACCAAACGGCCGACGATATATTACTTATTGTTTAAACTGATGAATAGATTTCTACTGTTTTCTATACAAAAATGTACAGTTATTAAACTTGAAAAAAGCCAAATAACTGAGATGAGATTTGAACCCATAACCTTTCTCTAATAAGCTACTGAAACAATCATATGAGTACACCATTCGTTCGTTCGTTAGTTTCAGCCAAATGTCGTCCACTGCTGGACAAAGGCCTCCCCCAAGGCTTTCCATAATGAATGGTCCTGCGCTGCTCGCATCCAGGTTCTTCCCGTGACCTTTACCAGATCGTCGGTCCACTTAGTAGGAGGCCTGCCTAGTGCCTACGCCGTGGTCGCCACTCGAGAACTTTTCTGCCCCAACGGCCAACACCATTAGACTGCGTCAAAATACGCAAGGATATCTACTTATTATTTACATTATTAAGGTATTATTTTTACTGTAAACTAGCTTTCCGCCCGCAGCTTCGCCCGCGTGTAATTTTGTCTGTCACAGGAAAACTTTATTGCGCGCGTCCCTGTTTCAAAAACCGGAATAAAAACTATCCTTTCCCGGGACTCAAACTATCTCTATGCCTTTCATCAAATCGGTTCAGTGGTTTAGGCTTGAAAGCAAGACAGACGGACAGACAGAGTTACTTTCGCATTTATAATACAATTAGTAAGTTTAGATTGTCAGCAAAATCACCCTTATTTCTTTCACTATGACACTAACAATAGCAAACATCGCAGCCTGTTTCCACGATTGTATGCCTTGTTATTGTTAACATTACTATAATTATATTACTTTGAACGTTATAGTGGGAAAGTTGTAGAATTAAAACAGTCAATTAAGTATAAACCCAAGGGAAATACAGATGAACTAGTTTCAACGATAATAAACCACTGTATTGTTTTAGAAACAATGCGAAAGTTGAGGATAGGTCAAGTATAGGAGTCAAGTGGGCATGAAATCTTTTATAACTTGCTGCCATTGACTCTATTTAGTTCCTTCTCACACTTTTATCAGCATCAGTTTTGCTCGTGACTTCGCCCACACGAATTTCAGTTTGTCAGAGTTTAGTAGTTTATTGTTCTCCTTTAAAAACCGAGATTACGAACTATTAATCGACATTTCCACAAAACTCCACTGTTTAAACTCTTAAAATCGTTCTGCCTCCCTCCAAAAGTTGCTGTGACCTAACTGGGTCCACATTGTATATCTGTTTAAATCAGTGGTTCTTAACCTTCAAGTCATGAGGGACCATTTTACCAAATTTCTGTCTTGTCAGGGACCACGGAAGGTTAGACAAACTTCGTGGGTGTATAGGTAAGGTCATTTTGAGAATGATTGATTTGAAATGTTTTTTTTCAAATCCTATGAAAGCGGAGGTCGATTTCTCGTCCACTGTGCGCCGTTTGCGTTGTGTTGACTCATCACGTCACATCACTTGTTTCTTACGATGTCTTCGCGGACCACTTGGAATGCCTCCAGGGACCACCAGTGGTCCGCGGACCACCGGTTAAGAACCACTGGTTTAAATTATAAGACCTACCTAAAACCACAGAATAATAATAAGTACTACCTAATACGCTACTGTTGTAAATATAGTATTGAGTATTGAACAAATGATCGTCTATACCTTACGTAAGGTGGAAGAGGTATTGAAACAGTTTTCCTGACGATAAATAGGTTAACAATAGTAATTATTGCAGCAATCACGTCAATTAGCCGGTGTCAGGACGGAGCGAGGCGGCGGCCATCTTGGATGGCTATTATGAGTATTATGACAGATTATCCGGTCAAATAGGCTTCATTTATGCATATACTAACGCATGTATTTACAAACGATGCTTGCTTAAGTAAAGCAGCAAATCGGACGCACAGCATTAAATAGAGCTCTGTGATTGGTTAGTGTAATCACCCTGTGCGTCCACGCGCACTGTGAGACCTTATATAATATTTGTGAATACGGGCGTAATACCTCTAATGATGTACAAATGGCAGCACAGCAAGTTAAACACTGTGTCATCTTGTGTAGTTGTATTAGACACTATTTTGCAATAACAAAAAATTGGCCAAGTGCGTGTTGTGCCACGTGTAGTGTAGGGTTCCGTAGTTGTCCGTCGTTACCACAATATATTTCAGAAGCAAGCAATTACTTCATCTAAAGTCACTTTTCATATTTTCTTCTAAGGATTTTTACTGGTTAAGAAATTTAATAATACATTAGTCAAATGACTATTACTCTTGAACTAAGTGATCTATCTTAACCGCTATAATTTTCCTTTAAAGTTCATGAAAAGCAGTATTATTACGAATTTTTCCAGATTTTTCAAGCCAACAGTTTAGTTTTTAGAGGGGGGGGGGGGACGTTTCTTGTCAGGACTACGGAACCCTAAATATTAGTGTCCGACCGAAACTAGTTTTACGACCGAAACCGAAACCGAAAACGAATTTCGGCAACGGTGTCTATTTCGGCCGAAACCGAAACCGAAACCGAAACTTCCTTATAAGGCTCATATTTTGAGGGAAAAATAAAGAAAACGTTATTATAATCAGTCAGTCTTTATTGTTTTCTCTTTAAATTGCATTAAAATTGAACTTATAAAGTGCCTTTGACTCTAAAAGGTATCAAATTATGTATTAAAAAAGTGAAAGAAGGATTTATATAGTCTAGATTTTTTTTAATTACTCGCAATATTCAGGACATCTACATAACCCGGCCCATGGTCGGGTCTTTTACCTTAATAATTTCTCAAAACAAAATTGGTAGTATGTAAGTTAGTAGGTATCTAATGTACTTGCCACTTTGATACCTTGGTGATAAATTCTAAAATGAACTTTGAAACTCTGAATCCATATAATATTATCACCATGAAATGCACTATAGTCAATACTAACTACTTAACTAATATTTGTTTACGTATAGCATTTGCGAACCAAAAAAAATATTTATAGGTTAGATTAAACTTGATTATACTTTTATCAGTCATATTGAATATTTTTTTTTTATGTTTACACCTGCTCTTATGTTATAACGACATAAAACGAGATAAAACTTACCAAATTCAAAATAAATCACTAAAACTCGTCACCACAACAAAACAAAACAAACAAGCGAGCGAATCACGACATTGGCTCTGATCGGATTCATCCACTCATTCAACGCGCCGAACATGACCGATAACAGCGCGGAAACTCCCGAATGCACATTCGGTTTCGGTCGTAGTTTCGGCAAGTTTGACGCCGAAAACGAAACTAAACCGAAACTCGTGTTTTTACCGAAACTCAACCGAAAACGAAACCGAAACCGAACATTCGGTCGGACACTACTAAATATGTATATTCTGAGGCGCTGTCGACTGTACAATGTACATATACAACGCTAAATGGTAGATAAATGTAAGTAGTTAATAATAAATCATAGTAATACCACAGAATGAGTACTAGCTTTTGCCCCCGGCTTCGCCCAAGTGAATTTCGATTTGTCACAGCCTTGACAGGTACTTAAACTTAACTTTATCACGCGAATGTTCCCTTTTGAAAAAAAATTAAATCCCAAATTATTTCAAATTTTCTGTTTAACTTGTAGAAAACGCCACATACGGCATTAACTTTGCTTTTAGTACCTCCATTTTTATGTGCGTTAAATAACTATAAATTGTTTCGGTGGTTTATACGTGAAAAGGTAGCAGACAGACAGACAGAGTTACTCTTGCATATTAATACGGGTTGGACTTTAACACTCAAACACTCTTTTGCCAAATGTTTGCAGTTAGCTGACGATATTACGACAAGGTCTTAAAGTACTCAATTCAAAGTCCGCACTGTGACCTTACTATGGTCTCGAAGCTACTAATATTATGGTACTAATGAGGCGTCTGAACTGTCTTGGAATTTGGAACTCATAACTTTTTAATCAGAAATTTTCAGAAGAATCTAAACAGTTAAATCTGCGTCCTCTTCATCTGTATTTTTTACTGACACCGTGGCCTGACCATATCATCCAATACTTTATATAGACTAGCTTTCCGCCCGCGGCTTCGCCCGCGTGGAATTTTGTCTGTCGCAGAAAAACTTTATCGCGCGCGTCCCTCTTTCAAAAATGTATGTCCTTTCCCGGGACTCAAACTATCTCTATGCCAAATTTCATCAAAATCGGTTCAATGGTTTAGGCGTGAAAGAGAGACAGACAGACAGCCAGTGTTACTTTCGCATTTATAATATTAGTATAGACTAGTATAGATTATTTTGAAGATCCTGATATACCGTGTGGAATACCACTAAAGACTGAATTGGAGGCGAAATATAATTTCGGCTTTCTTCCATAGCTGGGAGACATCTGATGTTCTCATTTCCAATTTTTATGTGGTAATCAGTTAAGTTGTGTAGCCAAAGGCTTAGTAGTTTCGATTAAAAAATATAGCTGTATTTAAAAACTATTCAAGTATGTTTTTATCCGTTGTCTGGTACCCATAGTACTAGCACAGAATACATAAGTACTAGTTTGGGACTAGATGGAGCAGTGTGAAACGTCTAAAGGATATTTATGTGACGTATGCAAATGTTTTTTTTAAATAGTCTCTTTAACGTGTATTTTTCTTACAGAAATGATGGCAGCGCCGACAGACTTGCGACCGGAGCGTGTGAGGCAAATGTTCAGCTGGACAACGGGGTAAGTTAATATATTATTTTAATTAAATGCGGTAAACAGTACCACTTACTGAAGAAGTCCCTGATAACTTATTAGGAATTTATCTGTCAAATAACCTTGCCCGATTCGTCCACACTCATGCACCTTTATTCAAGTAAATTTGTAATACCAATTGTTTTGAAAAATTAATGCTCTATGACCATTATGGTCATACAGTCTACGTATATTTTCGACACAAAGTAGGTAGTAATTAACAATTTAAGTATGTATTAACCTTACACTTTGGCTAAAAGTACAAAGCTCTACGATGGAAAGTACATACCGTAATCCGTAATTGTTTTGTACTTAATTTAACGCAACCTATGGTTTTAATTATTTTGATGTTAAATAAATAGTAAAGTGTGTAGGATAAGAATTATAAATCTGATACGTTGAAATATATTTTTAATTTAATATTGTCTTATGTCGTTAAGAAGATCCTTCACGGAGGCCTTAGTCCAGGAATAGACGTCATTTGGCTGAACCGATTCCCTAATACTTCATGACATTTCCAATGGAATATTCTAGAAAATGTTTAAGTAAAATAAGCTTTACACATAAACAGACACTAGCGGAGACAAATCAAGCCTCACATAACTTCCTTCCAATGATGCAACTGTTATGAGATGTCGACTGACCTGTTCAGTGACGTAAGACTCACTTTCGCGTGCAGCGGGGAGGTCGGGAGGCGAGCCTAATAACCTACATGCTACTGATTGTTTACTCGAAAATCACCCTTATTAATTTAAAAAAAAATATTTAGTCCGCTATTAAAACACTTCATTCACTCCACGTCCGCCATTCAAACATGGCCGTGTGGTGACGGTAGAGTAGAATACATTTGTCACCAACGCAACCCCTACTCTTCCCGCGGGTGTCGTAAGACGCGACTTAGACCACCGATTTTTAGTTGGCCGATAGTTGTGCCCGATTTTAAATTGTATGAAGAATCGGCCAAATCAAATCGGCGTAGTGTGTGCACTTCCATACATGCCCATACTGATCAACTGCCCGACTAAAAATCGATGGTCTGCGCCTAAGCTTAGGGACTACTACACATTCAACAGAGAACGAGCAGTAACGGTCTCTAATAAACATTAATCTTTTAAACTGCGATCTCCAACCCGCCTGCCAAGCGTGGCAAAACCCTCCAATGAGGGCTATCGGTTTTATACTTAACAGTTGGCACCCCTGGCGATTGACAGCAGGACCTTACTCTACAGTGGCGCCATCTTGATGAGTGCAAATGCGATAGTCCTCCTACCACTTTCGCGCTCACCAGTTGGTGCCACTGTCTTCGCTACTAGCAAGTGACAGGACCTTACTCTACAGTGGCGCTAACTGGTGAGCACTAAAACGATAGCCCTCATTAAGTGGAGGAGGCTCATAGTCCAGCAGTGGACTGTAAAGGTCTGTTGATACGAATTAAAACACTGCCATCTATTGTTTTACGATGTTAATGTTACATTGAATGAACCATCTGTCGGAACCAGTGTTACAATGCTTTCAATTAGCACGTGTTGTGGTATAACTCCAATAGGTGGCGTTAGTAGTTTCCAAGTTGGATGAACAATGCTTTTGTTAACTATAATTAAATTTTAATTGCACTTTAACTAAGTATATGTTTTCTTAACTTTTAACCTTGGGTTTAATATTATCGTAGGAAAAACCATAATTTGTAAATCAATGGTTAACCACGGAAGGAAAATCCATTCATGCACGTGAATTAGGCATCTTCTGGAGAAGTCACCTCTGTGGGTTAGTAGAAAGCTTTTAGCTTAGTATAAAAAAGCTCGCTCTATCTTAATTTGCATCTGACTTCGGTTATGATGAAGAGCAGTTTATTAAAGAAGTTTATTTATAGGTAGGTACATTTGCTTGGCAACATAGTAACTAAAGCCTTACAAAATAACACGACATGACCCACGACAAAGTATATTTTACCTACTTTTAATACAATATTCCTTTAGTAAAATATTCAAAATAAAAAGAAAACTTTTCCGTTATGTACATTCAGCGTCATATATATGACGCGAAGAAATATTTCTTCGTGACACCGAAAGTAGCCAATAAGTTCGCAAAACGTCTTTACAATGAGGGTTTTCGCGAATGAAAAATCCGCCAGATGGCAATACGTAGATGCGAAGTCCAAATGCTGCATGATTGGTTATTTTTGACATGACATTGACAGATATGTCAAAATCCACCAATCACGCAGCAGTCAGACCCCACATCCACGTCCCGCCATCTAGCGGATCTTTCATTCGCGAAAACCCTCATTGAAATAAGGGTGTGTTGTCAGCATTTTGGCCACTTTAGGTGTCACGAACTACGCTGACGCTGACTGTATAAACAACACGGTGTGTTTTGGTAAAGTTTTACATACACAATAAATATAGGTACCCATGTCAATACTATTGAAACTCTAACTCAATAGTATTGTATGTTAGTATATTTTAGTACATACGGGAAATAAATTACATTCTTTGGCAGTTTATAATGTAAATATACAAAGGTTTTCAATTAAATTACGAGATAAACTTCAGTTTTCTTCATGGCTACTTACTTGATAATGGCTCTACAGAGTCCGGCACATCAAGCTAAAGACTATGGTATCTTATACAGTTGTCGCAAGTGTCGTATTTTGCAATAAAATTATACACTTTGATGTGGCAAGCTCTATGTGCTTTTCATTAATCTGAATAGACTTAAAAAGCTAGAGTTATGTCACTCCATGGCTAAAATACCTCGAAATACAAAGTATTTATCTTTGTAGACTTCGTTTATTTATAGTAAACTAGTTTTCCGCCCGCGGCTTCGCCCACGTGAAATTTTGTCTGTCACAGAAAAACTTTATCGCACGCGTCCCTATTTCAAGAACTGGGATTAAAATCTATCCTATGTCTATTTCCCGGGACTCAAACTATCTCTATGCCAAATTTCATTAAAATCGGTTCAGTGATTAAGGCGTGAAAGCGACACAGACAGAGTTACTTTCGCATATATAATATTAAGTATAGATTTATTATTAAAACGTTTTCTTCGTTATTAGTTTAATCAATATAATTAGATTTCACATAAAACACGTGATCGATTTTATTATTAATATGCTAATTGCAGAAAAAGGACAGACAGCGACCGCCACGGAAGGCCAACCACAATCTAATTACTTTTGCTTGATTTTGTTTGTTTTGAACACCGAAATAACTGTTATCTTAAACATTATTTTAACCGGATCACCGGCGATTATTCCTAGTAGTCCCATCTGTACTTCTAGCATGAACAACTTTCGTCTTCGAATCGTTTGCGTATTCGATAAAATTCGATATTCAATCTTCGAATTAAACGATAACGTGACAATTTTGATTCTCAAAATAAGTTTCATGCAACCACATCTCATACTAAGTTCACTTTACGACACGTTCACAAGGGCGCTGTTGTAGTTTTGTTACAAAATCTTTTTATGGCGATACGAGTACGCGAACGATTTTAACTCGAAAGTTTATCGTGTTAGCCGTACTGCCGTTGTCCCCCATAATCCTGTGTTCTGATTAGTCGGAGTCCTGGTTACTTGAATAAAGAATCATTTATTATTATTATTATAATAGTGGACAAATGGAAAAGTAATTATAGCAATAGTCACCCCCTCCGGTTACAACTGGAAAGACAATCGCCAGTTGTCATCAGGCCATGTCCTCCATTTGCCTGTGGTAAATTAGAGAGTCGTGCTCCCACATGACCTGATGACTGACGATGTTGATGAAGGTGTTCCATGTAACTTTCTTATCGATAAAAGGATTCCTCTTTCAAAATCGAACCTTCATTTCCACGAGCCCATCGAAGCAAGCATTTGCATAATGTGTAAATGCAATTGTTCGTTACATATTAATTCGCGGCTGCTGCTCTTGCGCAATGAATAATATCGAACAGAATCTTGCTCTACATTTGAACCAAAATTGTAAACTATCAACAGCACAACAGGTTATAATTTTTTGTTGTAAAAACTCTTATTTGGCTCAAGATTTCTGCCGTGCTAGCGATATAAGCAGTAACTCCATTTTTTAGCAAAACTATAATGTGCTCTATTTCAGATGAGCTGACAGGAGTTTTTTTAACAGTAAAATATTAGAGTTACTGCTGATATCGCTGGCACGGCAGAATTGCTTTACGCTTATTCACTGGCCGATGGGGATGGTTAGTGGGTTGTGTCTTCCCACTAAAATGTGATGGTATCCTCTGGGATCATTGAAACGGACAGAACCGCGAGTTATTGTCGTAAAATTAGACAATCGTCTGCGGCTCAAGATACCAGTTGTCTACTCTAATTCAAATATGAAATATCTTAAAGGTTACTAAACCTTTGTTTGTCACCTGTCTGCTTTGCAATGGACGGAAGTCGAACCTTAACTTTGAACTCCATCTACGTTCTTCTGATTAATTCCGTGTAACTTTCCCCCTGGACAAACTTGACCTTCACTGGTTGGGTTTTTATTGGCGGTCAAGCTGTAGATCCTGGCTACACAGTAATTGCAGCGGTGGGAACGAGAGGTGGGAATAGTCCCGTAGTAGTTAACTTGCCTTGTGATAACTTGTAAATATTAATCAAAAATGCAAATGCTTCGTATGACAACATTCCTTGTATTTTTTTACCGTACCAGTAAAGTTTGCCAGGAAAAAGTAGATTCATTTCACCTCTCTTGAACTCTACATTAATCAATTATTTGCTTTCCATGGTATCTTCAACAATTATATAAAACACGTTTAATGAGTAACTAAAAAGTGGCTCGTCTCCAATCCGTTACCTCACACTCATTAGGCAGGTGAGAGTAACCACCAAGCCAAGGGGCAGAAAGCGGAAAATTCAAACATTTGAAAATATAGTGAAATCTACACTAACTTAGGAATGTTTAAAATAATTGACAAAAACTCGAGAATACGAGTATATTTTAATTAAAGATTAAAATAAACTGATATGGTATTAC